GGGCCTAATAGTGATAAATACATTTTGCTTATTTTAGTTGTTGGAATAGCTAAATTAATAAAAGGCATATATTATTGTTATATGTGTGGACGATTTATTTAATGTCTAACTTAGGTTCTTCGCAATTACCATTCGCGCCATCTTTTTTCGGCCCTCTGATTTAATTCAGTAGCTTTGAACTATGTGCTTTTTTAATTAGTGTTTATGCATAAAGCATCGTAAACTTGCTGACTTGTGATATTATAATGACTACAATCAAGTTCCATGTTGAGATTAGGGGAAGAAGTAAACGGTCTATTTGGGCTCAAGTCTTTAGAAATCAAGATTTTTGTGAGACGGGAAATTTCTAATGTCGATTTTGCAGAATCCAGAAAAGATTATTTACTCTAAAGATTTAACTTGAATTAGTCTAGCTACAAATTTAAACTATCATAGACAAGAAAGTATACGGGTATGTTTGCCCTGTGAAATGGTTTGAATGGATATTTTTTATGTGAGGTATAGAGAATTGTGTAGATAATACGAAAATAATGAAATATGTGTATTATATTAATTTTTTTGAAAAATATGCTGTTTTTTTTTTTTTTTGCAAAAAGAACACCCGTGGTTGCATTGGGAGGAGAAATCAAAAAAGGCAATATCAAATAAAAAAAAGTGAACTGACATTTTGCCCCTCCGAAGTTTTACGGCTGGTCCGTCGCTGGCGACATGCAAAAGAAAAATGCTTAAATTTTTAGGTGACTTGTTGGCTTGTCTCCCCTTTTAGATTGGGTTTCCTGCCCTCGTGTTGGAGATAAACTGTTCTTTGTTTGGCTAATGATCATATGTTTGTAAGGATTAGAAATGCGAATGCATCAACCCTTCAACTTCGAGCCTTCAACAGTATTTATATGTAACCAATTTTTTGAGCTCATATCTAAGTTTTACGTTGAGAATTAATATGAACTTAGCTTTTCATTCACCATTAAAATCAAGGGAGTAGAGCATGTTTATGTGCTAAACTGTCAACTCTCTTGTCTCTGAGTATGATTTTTAGACCTCAATGTGCTTACTGAGCTTTCTTAGCATTTCAAACCAAATATTGTAGTGATGAAGTTAGATCATGTATTCAGTCATTTTAGTTGTGTAACAAAAATGCTCAAAATATACTCTAAAATGGAAATTAAAATTGATAGTGAGATTATAGTAAATTTCATTTGTCAAAATGCACTTTTAAGGAAAACCAACACATTTGAAACATTTGGCAAATATTAAAAATGAAGTCACAACAGAATTTTTGTTTAATCATGTATTTTCCAAAATCCTATGATAAAAGGAAAGAATTGTTTAGACACTTTATGAATTCGAAGAAATAAATCTTTCAACACATGGGGAAATGGTGCAAGCGAGAAATTGCCACCCGAACAACAGAATGTACGGGATTTATGGAAAAATAGTATAGCATCACAGTACACGCATGGTCCAACAGGTGATTACCAAGAGAAGCAGTTTCTTCGGGAACTTCAAAAACATCAATTTTCTTAAGAAATTTTACAAACAAACAAACAACACAACACCTTTCCGCATAAAACCAAAATCAAAACCAACTTTCAAAATTCATTAAAAATAAGAAACAATTAAAAAGTCATGAAAGCGCACACAAACACCGTAACACGAAATCCAGCCCCAATATCAAGAAGCAGCCAAAAAAGACTACCTGGTCAGGAAGAGGTATAGAATAAAATGCTTTTTCATCGGGCCAGAGGAAGCAAACAACATGCAAGAGGATTTCGTGAATGAACGGTGCATTATTATTATTAACATTTGTCGATGTGCCACTAACAATGGAAGTGTAAAATCAGATACCAGTACTTCTTCCATCAACCAATCTCATATAACTTGCAGAAGCATCTTGTAGCCATAACAATTAACAATCTTCAGCCAATTTTAATACCCAATCGACCACAAATCTTCTAGAATGAATATGCCAAACAAAGCTGGAGCAAGGTGATGAAACCAACTCATGATTTCACATTAACACGTAATTGAATCTTAAAAACAAGAACAATAAAATTTGGCCATAGAAGCATGGAAGCCGAAATGAATGAACTCCATCAAAGAAAAAAATCTCAGAATACATAAGTAAATGTGCATAAACACCATAAATAAAATTATACTATTGCAAACACTTGCCTACACTTACCAGAAGGATATTAATGAAATAAAATAGACCTAATGAATTGAATTAAAATGATATTGCTCATAATACCATAAACACCCAATACTCGGGAAGTAAAACTCTGTAGATATCATGTTCAGAGAAATTATTGAATCATTACACCAATATAAAATTTAAAGCATAAGATTGATGTATTAATTTAGTCGATATTATTAAATTTGACATCCATTATTAAATTAAATTTTAGTACAAGATAAGTATAATTATTCATAGAATAATCCAAAATGATACCATAATCCTATCCTAAAATTTATGATAGGCGCACCACAAAATGATCAACCAAGAGGAATCAGTAGAAATCTCAGCTAAGAATCGAAGCATGAATTTAGGCATAATGATAAAAACAGGGTGCGTGAGAATCCTAGACTGCAGGGCCCGGTGACAGTTGGACATTCTATGAGAATCCTAGACTGCGTCCTATAATTGCATTAACAAAGTTTGATGAACTTCTTGCAGGTTGGGGACTGGCAGCCACACATGGATTGGGAAAGGCCTAAACTATATTTCCTATTCGGATGTTTTGATTTACTTTCTAAATGTGCTTGTGTAGTTTGTGTACATGATAAATCGTGTTACAAACTAAATAAAGGTGAAAACTCACATTCTCTCGAAAGAAGGCCCTCCATCTGCACACTTCTAACGGTTTCTTCAAGTTTTTTCATGTCAGTTTCATCATCCCACTGTTTTACATCCAAGAGCACTGATGGCTTCCCTGCTGAAACAACATTGCTTTGAAGACAGGTATGGTTGTTAGAAGATGATGAAATATATGGGAGCTCACAATATTTATGTATATTGGGGAACAAAATTTGTAAAATTAAATTAATATTTTCAAATAATGAATAGAAAATACATGATACAACAAAAAGGAGGAAAGGCATATCTCATAAAGTCTTTCTTCTTGGAGGAAGCAATGTGAGGAAGGGATTTTCATGAATCAAAGTAAGTATATTGCAAATATGATGAAAAGGTTCAATATGGAGAATGCAAAGCCAATTCTAGCACCTATGGGATGACAAGATAAAATACAGAGAGATGACAATGGTGTCTCAGTTGATAAAAAATTGCACCGCAGCATGATCGGTCGTCTTCTATATCTAACTGGAAGTAGACCAGACATCAGCTTCAGTGTGGGGATATGCGCCCGATATTAATCTGATCCGAAAGAGTCAAACATGAAGGCTGTCAAACGGATTTTGAGATATGTGAGAGGCACTGTTGGTTTAGGACTTTGGTATTCAAAAGAATCATCTTTTGAACTGGCAGGCTACAAGGATGCGGTTTAGGCAGCCTGCTGCGACGATCGCAAAAGCACATCGGGAGGATGTTTTTATCTTGAAAGCAACCTGATCAGTTGGTTTTCGAAGAAACAAAATAGCATTTCTCTTTGAAAGCGGAAACAGGATATATAGCAGCAGCCGGAGGATGTGCGCAGCTACTTAGGATGCAACAGATGTTGGAGGATTATGGAATCAAATGCGAAAAATTTGTGGTGCACTGTGATAACACGAGCGCGATTAACATCTCCGAGAATCTGGTGCAACACAGTCGAACGAAGCACATCGATATTCGGTATCACTTTATTTGAAATCTGGTCGAAGAAGGAATTTGCAGTCTGAAATATGTTTAGACAGATCAATTGGCAGATATTCTCACAAAATCCCTGGATTCGAATCGCTTTGAAGCTCTGCGTCGGGATCTTGGCATGTGCTCTCACTAATAAAGAAGCAAAATACATGGCTCGTGCATATCAAATTAGCCAGATGATTTTATGTTTGAGAAGTGAGGTATGGCTCATTCCTATTGGAATCAGTTGAGGTTGGGCTGAATAATGTTAGACAAATCCATCTCTCAAGGGAAGTTCTGAAATTTAAGAAGTGGAGTCAGGGGGATATCTGAACAATTGACAAATATCTTTTTTGTTTGATGTCTCCGAAATGGGGAGATTATGGATGATTATTATGCTGCTGATGATGCTTCTGTGATTGATGGTATTATGTTTGATTGAGGGGGAGATGATGGATGATTATTATGCTGCTGATGAAGCTTCTGTGATTGATGGTGTTATGTTTGATTGAGGAGGAGTTTGAATTTGTCTGTTTGTCATAAGTTTGCTTATGGTGTATAATGCTGATTGATCATGTTTATTTAGGTTGGTAAACATCAATAAAAAAGGAGAAGATTGTTGAAAACAAATTATATGTTGTATTGGATTTTGGTTGATGTTCGCAGGAGGTCTGATCAACATATAGACATGGTGAACAACTGTGGCCCATTAAGCATGAAACAGGTGATTCATTCTATTGCAGTCCAAATTGATCGAGCTGCCGTATCTATGAAGAGGAATATCGATGACAAGAATCCGTTTGAGATGAATAAGTAGATTCTAGGAGATTTGATTGAGACAAAATAGGAAAGTCAAATTATGGAAGCATTGAGAATAATTTCTTTTTCATTTGAAGTGATCTTACCTTGTTGAGAATGTTGGGCAGAGAAGTGACCAAGGTAGATAAAAAAAAACTACGAGAAAAAAGACAGGAAAGAGAGGATAGTGAGGGGAATATTGGAATTGCGTTTGAAAATGTTGTAGGGTGAATTTTTGTTGAAAAAAACTCTATGTGAGCGAGAGAGTGAGATTTCCGAGTGTAATGATTCATGTAACAACTTTGGAAGCTTGATTCGTTCTTCCTTGAGTATTAATCTTCCTGGGTTGGTATCCCCCAGGTCTTCGATGGTCGAATTGGGTTAAAAATTGTTTTGTATTTTGATTTTACTGCTATCAGAGTGCAAATGTTGTTTGATCTATCTCCGAACTATCTGTGTGTAGTCGAATTTATCTGGAAACAATTTGGTGCTATTTTTTGTGTTCGTTGAAGTTAAACGGGTTGGGACCAACAATAGTAAACTGTATTCATATTGTCTGCCGCTGGGGGAGTTGGAACAACTTCAGTGACTGGAGCTGATCCCGCAATAGTTACTCCACTTCCTTCACCAGAAACTCTGCTACAAAAGATTAAACAATCAAATAAGCAAGCCTCTAATTCTAGTTTATAAGAATATATTATAAACTACGAAGAACATACAAGATCCTCATTAAAGCTTCTATGTGGTTGTACAATGTAACATTTATGTAGCTAGATGGTGGAGGCTTTGATAAGGCACAGTGAACTGTGAGATCATCTTTGGAGGCCTGATACATAGACCTAGGAACGGAAGCTTGTTAAAAAGCATGTATCCATAATGACTAAACAGATTGAAAAATTAAAATATACATCATCGAAAATGCGGATTTCCCACTGAACCAAATGTTTGAAAGTATGGCAATGTCTTCTCCGCATGCATGGGCCTGAGGTGTCCTTAAAAGTATGTCCAGTGTGGCAAATTCGTGGACTGCATCCTTGTACTCAAGGACAGGTGCAACCAGTTTTACTGGATATATACAATTACCAGCATCCGCAACCTTTCTCTCCATGTAATCAACAATGTTTCCTCCGCAACTCACCCCAAGAAGTACACATTTGCACAATGTAAGATTGAAATGATAATCGCTCAGAAACTTATTTCTCTTTCAGCACATTCAGCAGCACCGATGGGGATAAAACAATGCAAAGCAACAAAATATTAAATATTTATATATACCATTGGAGGCTGGAGCAATATAACAAATCATGTTCTATCACCAACAATAACAATAAACCGAGTATGAAATATGAGTACTCAAAATTTATACATTCTAACCTCTATAGGAGAAGAAAGGAAAGAAGTAAAGGGAATCATGATGCAGTTGACTAATAAATTGTTTCCAAGCTATTCATTGAGTGTTGGAGAATAACAATACATGACTTAGCAAATGAGCAAAAACTCAAGTATCGGAGTGAACAGAAAAACCTCAAAATAGGCCCAGATATCATTAGGAATGTGTGTTTGTTCTGCCTTGACACATTGCTTCCTCTATAATAACAAAATGCAAATCTAGACCAACTAAAAGACATCATGTTTCATTATCCTATTATAAGCAATACAAAAAGGCTAATATAGAATTTAATGCAGTAAAAGCATACAGAGGGAATCAAATTATAGTTAGCTATACTTTGCTTTGCCAGCAATCTAATCACACAATAGGGCGATGCAGACTTTCTTTATCAGGAAAAGCTAAAGAATTTAGTGCAACATACACACCTTTCTAGACTCTAATTACAACAATTTATGTTACAAGTTCTCTATCTAAACTAATCACAAGAGAGCAATATCTGATTTGAATTCTTAGACGTGATTGGTTATCCTTCAAGCATTAAAACTGACTAGAAAAAGAACTGAGATAACAAATGCTAACATTCCAGATCAATCACTATTTCCAGGTTTTAAGAGAAATTATTCATCATGTTAATTACTTCCAGCTTTTATGCAAACACGGTCAAATCACATCTATCCATTGAAACTATCAACTCAAATCCATCTCCATCAAACGAATAAATACATATAGAGGTTGTGTATGAGCTAAAACAACACCAACCATTCAAGACAGAAACATCAATGGTAAAAATATATGATTCGCATTACCTCCAAGAAACTTCAAGTAGTACGTATCAATGGAAAAAGGCAACATATATAAAAAATTATACGATTAAGTAATAAAATATACTACACATAGACTGAGTTCGACTTGTAATTACATGCAGCAACAATATGTGTTAGCATTACCTCCAAGAAAATGGTTGATATCTCCTCTCTTACATCAACACGTGCAACCTTGGGGTTTTTTGAATTTGGGACACAGACTTTTTCTGTCAAGGAATCTAAATGTTATATTTTCTTTGGAAGTGGCTTAACTGACTCTAGATGGATCATTTCCAGACATATATCAAAGTCGACAAAATTATGAACCACATACAAAAATACTTGAAAGAAACAATGAGCACATTATTCTATTACATGATGTATGAACATATTTGCTTTCCACAGTTCCTGTATCAATTTAACTTTTAAAGGAATTGGAACAGATAAAAAGATAGCAAGAATAACAGGGAATATACAAAAGAAACGAACTGTGAAAAAACCTCTGAAAGTGCCAGTGACAATTGCGCACTCTCTACACCTTGAACAAGAATCTGTCTGGCCTTACCAACATTTCCAGAAACCTTCTAATGAAAATAGAAACAGATCGAGTATGTCAAAAACCGAACAACAGGAAAAACACTATAAGTAAGAAAAATCAGCGTTAGTAAGCCACCCCATGGTGGGGTTCAACCTGTCAAACCAACAAGAAACACTACATTCAAATCCAAAATTTTGACAAATCCTAAAACACTCGCAATTCTTCCAAGCATGAACAATCAGCCAACACATTAAACTACATTTGAACCAAAATTATCGACGGATCCAAAAACACTTACAAATCTTGCAAGTAATCATATAAAATCAACCCTACCTAATAAATTACATTAAAAACACAACTAAAGCATCAACAAGACCGAAAGCACTCACTATTCTTGCAAATTAGACAGACAACTCAGCTCCGAGGCAATGAAACCCTCAAAGACTCCCTATATAGAAATTTTCCTGCAAGAATTAAATTCAAAAATTCATCAACAGCTGCTCAATGATAATGATTAGCCACAGAATCTGTTCGACTAAGTGTGCATCAGCAGAGTCTTATCAATAATTTTTGAATTAGTTATTTAGTTTAATTTGATCTCTTTTACCAAGTCTTTTGGAGTTTCTTAGAATCTCCTGATTTTTAGCTAAGTTGAATTTCATTTCTATTTTTGATTTCAATATAATGTATTTCAAATCTTTAGAGTAAATAACAAAACAATCTTTTGCTGCTCTCAAAATTCTACGTTATTCTCTCTTAAACTAAACCAACAAACTGGTATCAGAGCCCTTCTTCGTAAAGGATCTATGAGTGAGTGAAAAAAAGAATCGAACTCAAACCCTTGTCCCTCTCAAATTACATCCACTACATGGATTCTGAAACACCTTTCACAACCCTAGCACCATCGGTGTTTTAAGGTGAAAATTACCATCTATGGGCTGCAAGGATGGAAGCTTACCTAGAGGCAAATGATCTTTGGGATGTTGTTCAGGAGTATTACGAAATCCCCCCTTACCAGAAAATCCAACCATGGCTCAACTGAAGAATCACACAACAAGGAAAACAAAAAAGTCAAAAGCCAAAGTTACCTTGTTTGCTGCTGTTTCACAAAAGATCTTTACAAGAATCATGAGCCAAAAGTGAGCCTTTGATATCAGGAATTTCCTCAAGGCTGAATATGAAGGAGATGAAAAGGTTAAAGGAATGGAAGTGCTGAATCTGATTCGTGAGTTTGAGATGCAGCGAATGAAGGAGTCTGAAACAACCAAGGAGTACAAAAGTAAGCTTCTTGGTATTGGTTGGGTTTGGGTTCTTCTATGTAAGTGAGGCTCAACAATTCAAGTTAGCCCAAAAAGAAGTTCACTTTTGCCAATTGTTGCCCTAGCCGTCATAGTTGGGAGAGGGGTCAATTGGGTGCGAGGGTTTGAGAGAGAGAATCGTTATCTATGCACACGAGAGAATCGGCAAGCAAGAGAAAATTTTTTCAACTCAGTTACGATCAATGGTCTCATCATCTTTGGATGTTCCTTTTTTGGTATCGTTGATTTCTCACTATTTGTTTGGATTCGATTTTGAATCTTATTGGTTAGGGATTGGAATGGGTTGTTAGTAGTTGGGAGATCTCTTGTGATTGGGTTCGATTCTTGTAATTGGGTGTGAAGTTTGATAGCCCTTTTGGTTGTGGTTATCTTTGATTGTACGAACCTTTTTTGAGATAGTGGATTTTGCCTTGGGTCGGGTGATAGGCCTCGTGGTTTTTATCCTTCACTTTGAAGGAGCTCTCCACGTAAAATTTTTTGGTGTCTCATATTGTTATTTCCGTTGTTTATTGGTGGTTATCATTCATCGTCTTTTGGTAGAAAAATAATTGATTGAAGGCAAAGGTTTTGGTGGAACAGTTTGAACACACTGCTTAGGCGTGACCACGCTTAAGGAATACATCGAATCTGATTTTGGTTTGCATTTTGGTCTTCTTCCGGTATTCTCCCAACATAAAGTGGTATCAGAGCAAGGTTGTTTGGGATTGTTATTTACCATGAAGGATGGATGTGAACGTGGGAAGAATGGTTTGCTTAGATGGGACAAACTATCATGTTTGGAAAGGGAAGATAATTGATCTTCTATATATGAAGAAGTTACACGGGGCCAGTGTTTTCAGTGGCAAAGCCTGATGTTGAAACTAGTGATGCAGATTGGGAATTGGAGCATAGGCAATGGGTAGAGGACAATGTTTTGAATCACATTTTGAATGAGACCAATGCCAAAACATTGTGGGACAAGCTGGAAAAATTATATGCTTCGAAGACTGGCAACAATAAGTTGTTTCTACTCAAGCAAGCTATGCGATTGAGTTATCATGAGAGCAAGTCCATTTCCGATCAGATAAATGAGTTTCAAGGATATTTCGATCAGTTTTCAGGCATGGGAGTGGAGTTTGATGATGAGGTACTTGGTTTGTGGCTGCTTAATACTCTTCCAGATTCATGGGAAGAGTCTCTTTGCCTAATTCTGTGCCCGATGGGATAGTCACTTTGAAGTTTATCAAAAGTGCCATTTTGAATGAAAAGGTGAGGAAGAAGACTCTTGGCACTTCATCTTCTCATTCGGAGATCCTAGTTACGAATAATAGGGGGAGAAGTTGAAATATAGACTGAGATCATGTGAATCGAGAAAAAAGTCGATGAAAAAGTAAGTCAAAGCCAAAATACAAAGACCTTGAGTGTCATCATTGTGGCAAATGGGGACACATTGAAATGTATTGTTTCAAGTTGAAAAAGAAGCATAAAGGCAAGGACAAAAAGTATGAGCAAAAAAATCATGATAGGAGCAATGATCGTGTGAATACGACAATGCAGGAGGATCTCGTCGTTGTGTATGAGGAAGAGGGAGTTCATCTTACCCAAAATGAGACTAGTTGGGTTGTGGATAGTGGACTTTCATTCCATTTGACTGCCAATAGGGATTTCTTCACATCATATACTTCGGAAGACTTTGGAGTCTTGAAGATGGGAAATGATGGTTTGGCCAAAGTAGTAGGCACATGAACAGTGTGTTTGGATATCAGTAGTGGATACACACTAGTGTTGAATAATGTGAGGCATGGTCCCGATGTTCAACTAAATCTAGTCTCCACTGGTAGGTTGGATGATGATAGATATTCCTGCCATTTCGGTGATGGAAAATGGAAGATTACCGAAGGTTCTATGGTAATTGCTCAGGGCAAGAAAAAGTCCAGTTTATATTGGTTTCATGCTATTATTCCTGTGAATGGTGTTAATGCAGTTGAAAATGGGAGTTCTTCGAGCTTATGGCATAGGAGATTGAGTCACATTAGTGAGAAATGACTTGATACTTTGGCGAGAAAGAATCCACTCCCTAGTATTAGACGTGCTCAGCATGATAAGTGTTCATATTGTCTTGTAAGAAAATAAAGATGGGTTTCCTTTGTTCATCACCTTCCCACGAGGAAGAGAGACATTCTTGAATTGATTTATTCGGATATGTGCGGTCCTTTGAAGGTAAAGTCTTTCGGAAGTGCAGTTTATTTTGTTACCTTCATTGATGATCACTCAAGAAAATTATGGGTTCGAGTGTTGAAATCGAAGGATCATGTTCTTGATGCTTTTGTTGATTTTCATGTTTCTGTTGAGAGAGAAACAGGTAAGAAATTGAAATACATCAGGACTGACAATGGAGGTGAATATCGGGGACCATTTGATGCTTATTGTCGAAAGCATGGTATTCGACATCAGAAGACACTTCCTAAAACTCCGCAACTAAATGGCTTGGAAGAAAGGATGAATAGAACATTGATGGAGAGAGTCAGATGCGTGCTTTTGGATGCTAAACTGCCTCAACATTTCAGGGGTGAGGCTCTTTATGCAGTTGCTCGCATTATTAATCGGACTCCTACAGTGGCTTTGTAGACAGATGTTCCTGACAAAGTTTGGCACGGGAAAAGAGTATCTTATGATCACATCAGAGTTTTCGGTTGCAAGTGTTTTGTTCATGTGCCTAAGGATGAGCAATCCAAGTTGGATGCTAAGACTCAACAGTGCATCTTTATTGGCTATGGTGATGATGAATTTGGCTATAGGTGTTACGATCCTATTGAGAAAAAGCTTGTCAGAAGCTGTGATGTTGTATTCATGGAGGATCAAATGATTGAGAACATTGAGACGAACCATAAGCCAAATGTTCAAAATAAAGATTTGATTTATTTGGATCGAGTTCTTACACCAAAATTGGGTGGTGATGAACATCAGTCTGTCGTTGATGATGCCGTTGATGATGTTGATGTTGGTCCGGATTCGATGGATATGGCAGAATCTTCATTGAGAAGGTCTACCCGGGATAGAAAACCCTCCACTAGGTATTCATCTACGGAGTATGTGCTCTTGACAGAGAATGGAGAGCCTGAGGATTATGAAGAAACCATCCAGAGTCCTGAAAGAAAAAAGTGGAACGTTGCTATGAAGGATGAAATGCAATCTCTACATGACAATGACACGTATGAGAGGTTGAGATTCCAAGTGATAGAAGGGCCTTTAAAAAATAGGTTGATCTATAAGGTGAAGCATGAAGAACACTCATGCTCTCCTCGAAAGAAAGCCAGGCTTGTTATGAAGGGCTTTAGTAAAAAACATGGTGTTGATTTTAAGGAGATATTTTCACCGGTTGTCAAGATGACTTCTATTCACGTTATCTTAGGTTTAGCTGCTTGTCTTGACTTAGAAGTTGAGCAAATGGATGTCAAGACGACATTTCTTCATGGTGACCTCGAAGAAGAAATTTATATGAAGCAGCCTAGAGGTTTTGTGGTGAAAGGAAAGGAGAACCATGTATGTCGATTGAAAAAGAGCTTGTATGGGCTTAAACAGGCTCCAAGGCAGTGGTACAAGAAATTCGAATATGTTATGATTCAACAAGGGCAAGAAGACTAATGCCGACCCTTGTGTTTTTGTGCAGTGGTTCTTAGGTACTGATGTTATCATCTTACTTCTTTATGTAGATGATATGCTCATAGTAGGCTCTTCAGCCTCGAAGATAAATAATTTGAAGAAAGAGTTGAGCAAACATTTTGCGATGAAGGATTTGGGGCCAGCTAGAAGTATTCTTGCGATGTATATTTCTCGAAACAGGGAAGAAAAAATTATGGTTATCCCAAGAAAAATATATCGAAAAAGTGTTGAAGCGGTTCAACATGGACAATGCCAAAGCTACGTATACCCCGCTTGCTGCTTTGTTTAAGTTGAGTGTGAAGCAGTGTCCTTCTACTGAGAAAGAAAATGAAGATATGCAGCGGATTCCTTATGCATCAGCAGTTGGAAGTTTGATGTATGCCATGGTGTATACTCGGCCGGACATAGCTCAGGCAGTTGGCGTTGACAGCCGATTCATGTCGAATCCTGGCAAAGAGCATTGGAGTGCAGTGAAGTGGATTTTGAAATATCTTCGGGGAACTTCAAGTATGAGGTTGTGCTTTGGTATTGGGAAGCCGGAGCTTGTTGCTTATACAGATTCTGATATGGCCTGAGATATTGATAATAGGAAGTCTACTTCTGCATACTTGATAACTAATACAGGGGGAGCTATTTCATGGCAGTCCCGATTGCAGAAATGTGTTGCACTCTCTTCCACCGAGGCGGAGTTTATTGCTGCTACCAAAGCTTGCAAGGAGTTATTATGGTTGAAGACTTTTTTGAGTGAGATTGGTTTCGCTAAACAAAAGTATATTTTGTATTGCGACAATCAAAGTGCGATTCATCTTAGCAAGAATCCGACATTTCATGGGAGATCGAAACGTATTGATACAAGGTATCATTGGATTCGAGAGGTTTGGATTCTAAGTTGATTGAAGTTGATAAAATCCACAAGGATGAAAATGGTGCGGATATGTGCACTAAAAGTCTTCCAAGAGACAAGTTCGAGTTCTGCAGCATGGCTGCAGGGTTAGTTGCCTTCTATGTGTAGGAGGCCCAACAATTCAAGTTAGCCCAAAAAGAATTAAGAGCCCACTTTTGCCAATTATTGCCCTAGCCGTCATAGTTGGGAGAGGGGTCAATTGGGTGCAAGGGTTTGAGAGAGACAATCGTTATCTATGCACGCGAGAGAATCGGCAAGCAAGAAAGAATTTCTTCAACTCAGTTCTGATCAATGCTCTCGTCATCTTCGGATGGTCTTTTTTTGTTATCGTTGATTGGAATGGGTTGTTAGTATTTGGGAGATCTCTTGTGGATTGGAATGGGTGGTTAGTATTTGGGAGATCTCTTGTGATTGGGGTTCAATTCTTGTAATTGGATG